GCGACAAAAGAAAGCTAGCTACGCGACAGTGAACCAAGAATACGCCCAACCCCAAGAACGAAACACCTAAAGGCAGAAACCCAAACCGAACCCCTCAGGGCCAATGGCCACAACTCAAATCCAACATAGGAACCCCCAGGCCATATGACGAGGGCCAGGAGGAGGGAGCCAAAGCCCCGGGCACATAGGGTATAAGGGAAACTACCCCGAAGGCGGCAACCAAGAAGAGAGGAGAGGAGGTGTGTGGCAGGCATACCAGCAACCGTGTGTCCTCCGGGACATGCGACGATTGAGGCAGTAAGGTGCCAGCTTGGGAGGGGGTGGCAGTAGGGTGCCAGCCAATCCAACCGTGGAGAGGAGCCCTAAGCAAAGCAGGCATTGTACCGTGTCTCTCATGTAGTCCCTTGTTCTGGAAGAGATAGCATCACTGTAGTGGAAGGAATCGCACCACCTGCCAGCCAAAGAGGCCCCAAAGAGTAGGAGAGGGGTAGACCCAATTCCGTGAATGACAACTATCGGTAACTGCATTCGTGTCCGACTAGGTAGCCTCTTACGGGGGCAAGAGAATGGAGAGATCAACCATAGCCTGTAAGCTGTTCTCTCCTACTGCAACTGTAGTCCCCGCGGTCTGTTGAAGGTAGAAAAAGGGGGTTGCCGACCATGCCAACGCCTAAGCGAGGCAGGGTAGGAAGAGGGGAAACATCACGAAGATGAGAGGCCTCAACCAGGGATGGAACCAAGGGAATCAAGAAATAAATCAGGACCTCAAGGGAGAGGGGAAGCGAGCCCACCTCCTGTAGCCGAGGCTAGATGGAGGGAGATGGGGGGGGGGGGGTGGTGGTGCTAGACAATGAAAGCCATGATAGAAACCATGGTGTTGAGTTTTCAATCACTAGAGGTGTAGCAGAGACGGAGGATGACTAAAAAGCTCAGGAGGCACCTCAATATTTATATTCCACGTCTGAGTGGTCGTAGCCTACATCCAATCCCTTATTGACTATGTACCTGTCATACTAACGATTCAGTATCCTTGGAGTGCGAACCCCGTTTGATCCTGAATTCTCACTTCCCCACTCTCTTCCTTAGTGGAGTGATCAGCTCCATCAAAGGACTTATCAATGACTCTTCTATGTGCATAGCTTAGAGTGCATGACGAAGATAACAAACTCGACTAGTAAGTTGTTATTTAACCAATCGTAAACTAGTCTCCGGATGACCCTAGTTTACGCGATCAGAGCATGGTATGGCTACTTCTTGGAATAGCACACCAAGACTTCCAGAGGTCGTAGCTCGATAACTAACCAACCAATCTGGTTCAAGTAAGTCTTATCTTGTAGAACGGAGCTGCTTCTATGTTATCCAGCAAAAGCCCCGCGGGCGCATGCCTCGTATCTCCGCGGAACAGGCTGCATAGATGCCTTATTGTTTCGTGGGATAATATGATATCATTACGATAACTACAGCGGGGCCCGGAGTCGAACACGTGACCTTATGCATTTAGTCACGTGCCGTTGTTAACGGGGGCTCCCTCAGGAAGTATGGATTCC